GGAAATGATCTCATGGATTGAGTTGAATCTCAGGGGGCGGAGCCAAATAAACAATTTAAAAAAAATGTGGCCAAAATATAGCAACATTTTCTATAATTGTAAAACATTAAAACGGCATAGCTGTTTTACACTCAATCATGACCACAGCAGTTAACATACAGTACAAGACAGTGATGCTACTAGGGCACCTTGTTAGCTGAATGATTATTAATAATTATAATAATAATTATCTTAAAATGTTCACAATGTTTTACCAGTGCAGCGTAGAAGCCTCTGCTTCCTCTGTTGTGTTCAGTCTCATGTTCTAAATATTGTTGGCTCTGTCCACTGAGGTTAAACCACTGAGATTACTTAAAGACATTTCAAAACAGGAACACAGAATACCCTTTTGCTGCCCATTTGAGAGTCAAGCACTTCGTTGTCCAGTTATTCAGGAGTTTCATTAATGATTGTACAATAACTGCAACAACAATTTAAGGCATGGTAAACACATATTATGTAAATACTTCAGAAATAGATGCTGATTGATATACTGCCTTTTTATATCCTTTGACGAGTATCAGTATTTCTCTGTTAACAGTGGTGTTAACAGAGAAAATGATTGGTGAACAGAGTCAGTGTTGTCATTTATTTTCCCAAATCCATTGTAGAAAAGTGATTATTTGACTGAAGGACATGATCAACACCTTTGGCCTTGAAAATGTTTCATCTTTGAGAATAAGAGGCAACCAGTGGCATCAGCTGTGTTAAACCGAACTATAAGGCGGATATTGGTATTTTAGTAAACATCAGGTCTCAGGTCAGTGTTATCAGAAAACAAATTATTGAACAAATGGTCATGATTGTTTGAAAAAAAAAAGAAAACTTAATATAAATGATTCCAGTGTGACATTTTGAAATGACCAACAATACGGTAGATTATTAGAGGGATTAGAGGACTAGATCTCAGTGTCTTGACACTGTTTGAGAGGCTTTTTATTCTTGGTAGGATTGGTAAATGTCAGAATATTGAATATAAACACACAATATTCCCTGATGGTACCTTTACTTAAAGGAATAGTTGATCAATCTTTTCCTCTAACTCTCAGCAAGAAAGCAAATAACTGTGTTCCCCAAGATGTTAAACTATTCCTTTAATGCATATTGGTGAAAGCCAATGTGAATGGAATACAATATATACTGGTAAAGCAGAACTACCTCAATAAATACACTACAAAACACTTGGCACACGAGGCAGCGAACCTTTTCCACAGCTGACATTTGGACTAGTCATAGCAGAGGAAACAAGTCCGTAATAACATTAATGATGGCTTGGGGCAAAAACACACAGGAAGTGACAACGTTGTCAAGAAACGCTGACACCTCCCCCACGCAGCAGCCAGTGGGTAGATCCGTCGAGCTGTCAATCAAAATGCTGCTGCTTCCACTGTTGTCAGGTGACGAGGGGGCATACAGCACTGCTGGCAACAATTAAGCAAAGCTAAAGTATCAGCAGACTGGAGAGAGACCTCAACACTAACAACAGCACTGACCACTGATATGTTCATCATATCACTGTCACAGGAGAGAGTTCCCACCTGCTTCAACACAGACACTATCGTCCCTCTACCTAAAAAGTCTGCAGTGTCCAGTCTAGATGATTATCGCCCTGAACTGATGAACTGGTAAACTTAGCACTCTGGACTTTCTCACAAACAGACCCCAAGCAGTTTGTATCAGCAGCCAAACCTCCTCCACTCTAGTGTTGAGCACCTGAGCCCCCCAGGGCTGTGTACTCAGGCCCCTCCTGTTCACGTTGTACACCCACCATTGCTAGCCCAGACATGATTCTGTTGGGAAGTTTGCAGATGCCACCACCGTCATCGACCGGATTAGAAACAAAAATGAGACTTCAAATAGAGAGTAAATCAACAACCTTGCAGAGTGAGGCTCAGAGAACAACCTGGTTCTCAACATCGGTAAAACCAAGGAGCTGATTGTTGATTTTAGAAAAAAAGAGGCAAAGACACTTGCCCCTGTCTACATCAATGCTGAGGTGGAGCAAGGGAACAATTTTAGGTTCCAGGAAATCGGGTAATTAAAACACCATTGGTACCCATCTGCTGAGCATCAGTGATATTGGTGAGAAGAGGTGCCTGCGAGGAGCCAAAGGATATTAAAAGACAAAACCCACCCAGCCACAGCCTATTCACCTGCTGCCATCTGAAAAAGTGATACAGAAGTATCAGCTGCGGTACCACCAGACTAAAGAGCAGCTTCTTCCCTCAGGCTGTGCCACTCCTCAACTCATCCTCATCATCCACAACGTAAAAAAATTGACTCCCAGCAATACATGTTAAACATGTTTCTAGATTGCACTTGCACAGAGACTCCTTCTTATATGTAACTATTATATTCTGTTATTTTGTTATGCTGGATTTGTACATTTGCGCACAACGTTTTACTCTAACCTGATTGCCACTATAAAACAAAGTTTCCTATTTGTAGTCTAACTTGCACTGTACTTTACATATTATTTCTGTGTGCCTTGTCTGCCAAGCGTCAGCTTCCCAGCCTTGGTTGCCTTCATCTCTGGCTCACCTCTTCAGAACTCCTTTCAGCCCTGCTCTCACCACCAGCCCAAGCACCAAATAAAACCACCGCCTACCAAATCAATGCAGAAGCTGCATCTGATAAAATTGTTGCAAATTATACAATAACAATATATCAGGTGTGACTTTGCACCCCTTCCAGGTTTGAAGTACCTGCTAGTCTCTTCTCGCTGGTTTGACCGCTAATCGCGAGGAGTTTTCTCAAGAATGAATGTCTCGCTGCTTTCTATGTCTTTCTACCTCAGTTCCACTAAGTGTCCAAGGAAGCCACTGAAGCGAAGCAGTATGCACACTACAGAGACCCTGCAACGGGATGATCTCAATGTAATGCAGTCATTATAAACACATCCTGTACTTTGTCAAAAAAGAAAAGGGTCTACTGTTAACAGCTA